GTATTTATTGCTGCTTAGCGTTTGGATCAAGGAGCACAGACCCTCACCTTTAGAAGACTGCTGTTCAGATTTTGAAGAAGGGTGTTTTTTTGGAGTGAGTTGCGTTCATGAAGCTTGTGAAATTGCCCTACCTTGTTTCTGTGGAAGAGGCTTTTTGGGTGCCATCCTTCCACTGTACGGACCTCCCAGTGTGCAGAGAGGTGTGTACAACCCCTGCAGCACAATGCCTCTGAGTTTGTAGCTCCTGGGACTGAAAATCCAGGTACACGGGGCATCTGTGAGTCACATCCAGGGGGTGGTGAAACCTTTCAATGACGCTTTGCAGATGCCACCCACAGAGACACCCCATGCCAGAGCGGAACAGCACACGTGTAGGGCTCAGGAGGCAATTCAACTTCCCTGCCCGTCTGCCAAGAGTGTCACCAATTTGTTGGGGTTACTGCTTGCACTGTAGGCATATCTGTGTTAGCCTGAGATAACTTAGAATTTACAAACTTAAGCTTACAAGAGCCATCATGAAACTTTTACACAGCAACCACACTCACCTACCTCCCCTTTTCCCTATTCTTTTTTGGATGGTTTCTGCTATGTGATATAACTTTGGTTTATGGGATCTTGCACTGGTTTCAAGTAAATTGAAGGGTAGGATTAAAAAAAAATGACAGGGCTTCTAAATAAGGCTTTTGATTTCAAAACAGAAATAACACACACCAGGCGGTACAGAGGTAAAGGGAGACTTGCCGAACAGCAGGTAAACTCTGTAAAGAAAATCAGAATAAGATTTTAGCCATATGCACCAAAAGAGAAGAGCCTCCAAGTGCAATTATTTTTAATTTCTGGTTTCAGTGAGGATGATGATGCTGAACAGGAGGGCAAAATGGCAAATGGGAATGAAGCTACAGAAATGAAAATTGTCACATTGGAAGTGTGGTGAAGGAAAAGAAGTTTAATATATGCAAAGTGGGGAGGAAAACAGAGACTTTTGATCTAATTTATGTGATTGTAAAGTCAGGAAGACGAGGTCCTGGTGTACAGGTTTTAAACAAGTCTGTGCAATCAGAAGCGGAGCCCTGTAACTAAACCAAAGGGAAAATGTCCTGTTTGTACTCAGATGACTGCAAGCCACCAGCGCAACACAACCATGAAAAGAAAAGTGAGGTCTCTGGTGTGTACCAGAGTTAGCATCCGCTAAGGAGCGTGGGAAGTGTTTGTGCCATTGCACAAGGTCCCATGGGCCTCACCTGCCTTCAGCCCTGGGCTCCAGGTGCAGGTACAGGGAAGGGCTCTCACCCCGTGCAGAGGATTGGAGAGACTGTCTTACAAGTGGAAACTGGAGGAGTAGGGAGGGTCATCTGAGCCTGAGTAAGTCTGAAGGGAGCTCTGCCCAGAAGGTAAACGGCAGGAATAGGAAGAGGCTGTTTCACTAAATGACTCTTCTGGCACGGGAACAAAAAACTGTCGATAAACAGATTTAAATTGGCGGTTGTACGTACTGGTGGCCAGCTACATAGCGTCCGCCCAGCAGGTGCAAGCAAGTTAATACCCTAATTCAAGACAGGATGGTCAGTTAAGGAAAAGGGATTATATGATGGAGCATGGGTTGTAGGAAACACTGAATTTGGTGATCCATGGACTCCTTATGTTCTTTTAACTCATTCTGAGTTCAAAGCAATTATAGTATCTACCTTTTAAAGTAAGAGGACTACCTTTTGACTTCTCATGCAGTGCTGCTATTAACAATATTATGAATGCCACGGTGTTGGTAATAAATTTCACTTATTTCCAGTTATATGAACCCAAAAAATGACCTAGTATTTTTCAGCCTGCACATCAGTTGGTGCTTAGTAATCATCAGAATATTTTTATTTACTTCATATAGATACTGCACCTTTTTACAGATTAAAATTACCAATTATACCCAAAATGGTAGATTAACATCCCTGTTAAATTACAGGCAGCATTTAATGTTTGAATTTTGACTATACCTCCATGATTAGACTAACAAGATGTGACCTCTGTGTTTTTCTTGGTGTGCTTACAGGGACTTGGATACTTGCCAGCCAGATTGATCCATGTTCTTAACCCATTTTGCAAATGCAATTACCAAGGGGCTTAGATGAAGTCAGTGCAAGAGAAAATAAAGTTATTAATGGGCAGGATAGGTCTGTTTAATACCTCAGAAACTATTCCTTCATTTGCAAGGAAGCCCTTCAAAATTATTTTGTCACAGTAGCTTTTCCATATTGGCAAGTTAGCTCCAAGGGTGCAGCTATATACCAGCTGAGGCGAAGAGTAAGCTTCAGTTGACTTTAGGAGGAGCAAGGCTTAAGAACATGTTTGCATCCTGTGGGAAGACACCCGCACTGCTTCACCACTGCTGAGTGAGCCCAGAAGCAGGAGCTCTGGGGAGTTCTTGTCAGAGCAGTGGGAAGAATATGTAAATAATGTAGCTAAGAATATACCATATATTGCTATACTGAATATACTGCCAGTTTTATAGGTCTTGCCCAAATTCCTGGCTGCCTCTGGCCATAATCTCCACAGAGACAGCTGAAGTGCTAATGAACTTGCACTCCTGGCAGTGCAACATGGGAAGCAGGAAAGGTTAATAACTGATGGGACTGGCTTGGCCATGCATGTTTGGGAAGCAGGGGTAGGGAGCAGAGAGAAGAAAGTGCACAGATGGCTTCCTTAAATTGTGAGAATGTCTTTGGATAGAGTAGGAAAGGTAAAATAACATTTTGGCAGAATTTCCTAGCTACTCTGCATGGGGGGGGGGGCATGCAGACATGCTTGGGATGAAGGTGGGCGACAGCAAATGAATGTCTCATCTAAGTAGCGGCTCAGCACTTAAGCATAAAACATACTGCCGCTTTACATGCCGAAGGGTGCCTGAGCCACCCAGGAGAGATGTCCTACCAGATTATACTCAGGACCTACAGTAGGGCTGTGCCCTCCTGGAATGCTGCGCAGGCACCCTAGGAGATAACAGAATGGACGAAAAACACCTATGTCCAGGCTCCTGATTCACCCTGTAATAATTTCTTGCCAAAATCCCTCCCTCTCCACCATCTTCAGGACCACGAAGCAAACAAAGTTGCCAGAAAGCCAAGACTAATAAAAATCCCAAGAAAAGTGTGGTTTGATACCATTCTATGCTAATCCTTCCTGAAACAAGGTAGACAGATCAGGCATTGTAAGGCTTTTATGCCAGTTATTGTGCTAATGGACCTACGCTGTTTATGGGATGGCTATTTTCTGCCTAGCGTTGCTTTATAGCGCATCCTTGAAATAACAGTGCAAATGTTAACTGATCACAGCTTTTAGTTAGAGGGATTTTTTTAGCTGATTTGCTGAGTTAATCGGCCAATGTTCTTCTTACCTATACTGGGCAACCATAATCTTGAATTCAGAAGTGGTATAATCACGTTTAGGAAACATGGTTCATTACCTGAAGCTTTGGCTCTGAGAAAAGATTGCTTGTGGACCCGACCATTAAGAATGATTAACCTGGTGTTGTGCTACCTGCAAGCGCAGGTGTCTGCTACCTTGGAGATTTCTCCATCGCTTGGTGTACAAAATGAGTACTCTAGATCTATGGTCAGGCAGTAGTCATCCCCTAATGGTTTCATGAGGTCAACTGCAGTCATTTATTTACTCTAAGATCAGTATGTTACTGTTGAATATGTCCTTGGAGTTGCCAGAAGTCAGTCTGGGGGTGCAGATGTCTGCCAGATGATTGCACAAAGGAATTCTGTGCTAGGCATTTGCAGTGCAAAATGCCTGAAGATAGGAAGCAGCATGCCTACACAGACATCGGCAAATATGTTATACAGAAAGAATCAAAAGCTTATAGCTGAAAACCTCTTTGTTTATTCAGTGTATTATATACAGGTGTCTGTGAGACTCATGAACTCATCTCTTCATTCCCTTTTATCTGGGGCCACAAGGAGAACAAAAGTGCCTTTATTTCCCTCAGCTTATTTAAAGCATGTACATATCTGCATGAAACGTATGTTTGTAGTCAAACCTCACGCTCAGGATAGCTGAATGCAGAAATCAGGGACAGAGATTTTTTCCATGATGCACAACTGACCCAATGTGTTTTAGGCAGCAGAGGTGGTGCCTCCTTACAGATTGCTGGAGACTGGCCATAACCGAAGCAAAGACCTGGGACAAGAGGACTCTGACAATGCACAAAATACCCTCTTGGATGTACGGGCAGCAAGCATGGGTATTACTGAGCTGCTGAGGTCAAAATAATTACAAGATCTGAGGTTAAGGCAAAGCTTTTCCTTTTCCTCTCCCAGCCCCAACTGAGACTAAAAGAAACATTTTACTCTCCTCTGCAGCACGAGGGATGGTTTGCCTCTCGAGCTTATCTTGGCCAAAGAGAGGAAAATCTTGGAGCCTCAGGGTCCACTTCTGTTTCTGTTCAGAGGTTTAGGATGCAGATTGGTGTGGTCACGGATGCATTTACTTCAGCTGACCCACCATACCCTGCCAGACCTCACCTGGCTCTGCATGTCCTTTCTCCAACACAAGGTAGTGTTCCTTCTACTGCCCTTAATTTCCAGTTTGGGTGCCTTGACGGTCATCCAGCATTCATATTATCTTGATAAAACATGTAAATAGTCTAGGAGCATTAGGCAATCTGCTACCATTATAAGGGCCTTGGGCTTTGTGGCACCTCTATCTTGTGCCCCTGCCTGAAGCATACAGCAATTTAGTCTCCTGAAAACTGAAATGCTTTTATCTGCCTAAATTGTCAGCAGGCTCAGAAGAGAAATGGCTTAATGATTTGTAAAATGATGAACACAAGGTCAGACCGGATGATATAATGTACCCATGTAGTCTTAAATGCAGTTAAATCATCTCGTCCCTGTTACTCAAAGCATTACCAACTATAAACTCTGGGAAATAAAGGAAAGAAAGCACCGTCCTGCTGCTGCAGTCACTACAGTTGAAGTTCAAGTAGAAGAGAGAAAGATGAGCAGGTAAACCAGGAAGCAGAGGAGGTAAAAAGGAAAGACAAAAACAGGCAAAGAGAGGGCACTTTTGCGGAGTTTGGTCTGCCAGAAGGAAAAAGGAGGTGAGAGAAGAGCTTCAAGCTTGCTTGAATTAATAGTGCAGTCAGAGCAGATCTGAACACAAAGAGGAAGACAGGCAAGAAAAGCATCAAGGACCAGCAAGGATGTATACAGCCGGCTTTACAAAAATTACTTTTAGTTTCTATTGAAACTGGTGCAAAGGACAGACTTTTGGAGTAAAAATTGACTCAGTCAAGGGAGGTGCCTTAAACTGATTTAATTAAACTGTAAGTCTAATACAAGCCTCCCGTTTTTAAAAATCTGCTCTATTTTTCCTTTCCTTTCAGTGCTGTAGGTGTTTGGTTCTTCTTAGTGCTAATGATTGGTCTGGGGGGCACACAGCGAATCAGTCACTAACTCAAACAGGAGGAGATTTTTTAGTTGTTTTTCTTCATCCTAAGATACTTTCTCTCTGTCTTTTCCATTAGTGCAAACATGTTTCATGGCAAGTAAGATCTCTGATCACTCCATACACCCAGCAAAAACTCTTGAGAGTGAGTGTATTTAGCATTACAAGACACCCACCTGTTCTAGTTTTGTAAACACAGTACCTGCCACTTTTCAAATATGTCCAATTCAATTTAAAATCAAATTTGTATATTTTGCCTTTTGATATGCTGCCCTTCTGAATACATTTTGCCTTTCAAGTAACAATCATTATGGTGATACTGAGGACTAACCTCTGCCACTTTTTCTTGTGTTGATATTTTTTTTTTCCCCTGGATCAATCCCACTGGCTGTAATACAATTAAACAAACACTGTTGCACCCCTGTTAAGCAAGGCAGGCAAAATCTGGGCTCGAGATGTCATTGCCGTGTTGGCTGTTTGGCTGGGTTCTGACCTCAGTGCAGCCTTGCTGGCAGTGCTTAATATAGATAATGTGTAACGAGATCACTATCTGCTTTCTTAAAAAGCAGATAACTTAAAATAGACTGCAGGAGCACCCATGGATTTTTTTGTGTCAGGTATAGGCAGCCCAAGTGAAGTCGAAAGTGCATTTCTGCAAGGTTCACCCCAAGTTGTTTATGGCATTCCGGATATTCGTCATGAAATTCTTCTGCAGCCCATTGTAATACACAAAGACTCTAAATCCCTCCAGGCTTCACAAAGATTTGTGCAGAGATTATAAATGAGCAGCAGATTAGCGCCACATGAAAAAATCTGTTCTGTTAGAGAGCTAATCTCGGTCAGTTTAGTCAATGGCTGGGGTTGCTGTGTGTCTTTATGGCGAGGTCTGACAGATCTCTCTCCCTGTATTTGGAATTTCAGTCAAAATCAACGTGTCGGTTTGGATCAAGTCTTTGTCCTCTCAGATGGCCAACCCCCTCTCCAGCGTCTCTGCTGTGTTTGTGCCTGACGCAGGCAGCATGGCTGTAGCAGGCAGGGCTCTGCCAGGTTGCAGCCAGGTAACAGGCAATGCAGAACCCAAGCTGTGAGAAGGCTGAAGACAAGGACTTAAAAAAGGGAAAAAAAAAAAAAATCAGAAAAATTAAAGCAGATGCAACAGCTTCCAAAGCCAAGGAAAGAACTGGAAAGGAGGGAGAAAGCTGTTCTGCTGAAAAGAGTATCATCTCGTGTGCATCACGCTGTCCTCAAGGCACAAAAATACATCTTACTGTTTTCAGCATCCCACGACTGAAAGGGCAGAGGATGTCTCCCACCTTCTTGTCATGGTTTCTCCCAAGAGCAGTCACACGTGGAAATCCAGTTTGAACTTCGTGGGACTGTCAGGCACTGTAAAACTGTTAAAACAAAGAGGAGCAATCACATGAACGCACAGGCTGCATGCAGCTCTCCCTGTGCTGTGCCAGGATGGTACGGGGGGGCACGGTCAACGGCCTTGGCACCGGACTAGCAGCTAGTTTTGCCTGATTTTTAATCCTGGTTAAATCATTGAATCCTCTCTGTGATCTCTGACAAACTACAGAATGTGGATATAGAAAAGTCTTATTAGTCCACATAATCCAGTTCTCTACAATGTAGGATTAGCCTGTAATCTTTATTCACTAGTATTTCATGAGATGGAGCTTCTGACACTCTACCTGTAGTACAGTTGTGCAGTCCGGTATTCTCACAGTCAGGAAAGTTTTCAGTTATGTTGCTTTATGTATTAAAAAAATCCCCCTCCCTCATTATTTCCCCTTTCTGCCTATATCACTGTGGTGGGTTGACCCTGGCTGAGG